CAGAGGTGGACTGTACCCATGGCGTCCACGGGAGACGCACAGAGGTGGGCTGTACCCATGGTGTCCGAGTCCTCAGGAGCCCACACAGAGGTGGGCTGTAGCCGTGATTTCCATGTCCATGAGAGCCTGCACAGAGGTGCGCTGTACCCATGGTGTCCGTGTCCACCGAAGCCCGCACAGAGGTGGGCTATACACATGGTGTCCACTGGAGACACACAGAGGTGGGCTGTACCCATGGTTTCCAAGTCCTCAGGAGCCCGCACAGCTGTGGGCTATAGCAATGGTTTCCATGTCCACGGATGCCCGCAAAGAGGTGGGCTGTGTCCATGGTGTCCGTGTCCATGGGAACCTGCACAGAGGTGGTCTGTACCCATAGTGTCCACGGGAGCCCTCACAGGGGTGGGCTGTACCCATGGTGTCCACAGGAGCCAACACAGATGTGCGCTGTACCCATGGTGTCCACGGGAGCCTGCACAGAAGTTGGCTGTACCCATGGTGTTTATGTCCACAGGAGCCGCACAGAGGTGGATTGTACCCATGGTGTCCACAGGAGCCTGCACAGAGGTGGGCTGTACCCATGGTGTCCATGTCCACGAGAGCCAGCAGAGAGGTGTGCTGTAGCCATGGTGTCCACGGGAGACACACAGAGGTGGGCTGTACCCATGGTGTCTGTGTCCTCAGTATCCCGCACAGAGGTGGGCTGTAGCCATGGTTTCCATGTTCTTGGGAGCCCACATAGCGGTGGGCTGTACCCACGGTGTCTGTGTTCACAGGAGCCGCACAGATGGGCTGAACACATGGTTTCCTTGTCCAAAGGAGCCTGCACAGAGGTGGGCTGTACCCATGGTGCCCATGGAAGCCCGCACATAGGTGGGCTGTACCCATGGTTTCCCTGCCCTAGGGAGTTCACACAGAGGGGGCTGTACCTATGCTGTCCACGGGAGCCCGCACAGAGGTGGGCTGTACCCATGGTATCCATGTCCACAGGAGCACGCACAGAGGCGGGCTGTGCCCATGGTGTCCGTGTCCACGGGAGCCCCCACAGAGGTGGGCTGTACCTATGGTGCCCACAGGAGCCTGCACAGAGTGTGGCAGCTACTGTGTACATCTTCACCAAAACCTTTCTTCCTTTGAATACACAGGGGGCCACTCTCCCAGACTACTTTCAGCTGGCTGGGCACTGGTGGCAGTTTTTCTCAAAGGTAAATGGAAGTGGCAGGTGATGTCTTAGTGAGGCCATTAAGTGGAGGTGTAACATCTTCATACTCTCCCCTGAGATTGTGATCGAGGGCCACATGCTTGTGCTGGCGCTGCTGCCTGACCAAGCACTTCCTGCCGAACAGAAGACAGAGGCCATGCTTCCCTCTAAACACCCTGGAGCTCTCTGAGAATGATTAGTCCAAAATTGTCATGTTTTTCAGAGTCAAAGGAACTTATATTGAAACAGTTTCCTTTTGGTGGGGAAAGTCTGATTTCCCTCTGAGTGCCCATCTCATTTCTCCTCGGTGCTTTCTCCTTTCGCTTTCTCATTCTGAGCTGTCAGTGGACGCGCAGTTCAGTCAGTAATTACTGAGTGTCACTGAGTCCTGGGCTCTGCTCTAGGAGCTGCCACTACAAAGCAGTGAAGATCCTGGTGAAGAAACCCATCCCCTGACCCACAGGCTTCACAGGGAATTTTTAAACTCGTCACAAAGACTACAAAAATTATTATCACAAGGAGCTGGTTCTTCGAAAAGATTAATGAAACTGACGAACCCCTGGCTAGACTCATTGAGGAAAAAAGGGAAAAGACCCACATTAACAAAATCAGAAATGAGAGAGAAGTAACCACTGACATCACAGATATACAAAGGGTCATACTAGGATACTATGAAATACTATATGCCACCAAATTCAATAACCTAGAAGAAATGGCAAGGTCCTAGAAATATATAACCTTCCTAGACTAAATCATGAAGAACTGGAAAATCTATGTAGACTGATCAGCAGCGAGGAAATTGAAACAACCATCCATCAAAAACCTCTCTCCCAAAAAAGTCTAGGACTAAATGGCTTCATCAGTGAATTCCACCAAAGATTTCAATCCCATCCTTCCCAAACTCTTGCAAAAAATTAACGCAGAGGCAATTCACTCTCTTCCATCCTTGTCAGGAATGAGACAAGAATGTCCACTCTCATCACTCTTAGCCAACATAGTTCTGGAAGGCCTAGCCAGAGCAATAAGGCAAGAGAAAGAAATAAGAGGCATTCAAATTGGGAAGTAAAACTGTCACTTTTTGCAGATGTCATTATTCTGTACATAGAAAACCCTAAAGAATCCACACAAAAAGAGTATTAAAAACAATGAACATATAATAATATAGTAAAGTTGCAGTATACAAATCGATGTACAAAAATTCACTGCCTTCCTGAATACTAACAACAAAAGTTCAGGAAAAAAAGAACTGGGAAAAAATTCATTTTGAAATTGTGACCCAAAAAATTAAGTAGCTAGGAATAAAACTTAAAAAGGACATGAAGACCCATATACCGAAAACTACAAAGCATTGTTTAAAAATATACAACAAAATGGGAAATATCTTATGTTCACGGGTTGGAAGAATCAACATGGTTAAAATGGCCACGTTACCCAAAGTGACAGACAGCTTTACTGCAGTCCCCATCAGAAATTGAACAAGACACCATCCGTTTTGTATGGGGCCACAAAATAGGTAGAACAGCCAAAGCAATCCCAAGAACGCTGGAAGTGACTTCGAATCATACAGCAGAGCTATGATAGTCAAACTAGCATGGTATTGGCAGAAAAACATACACACAGGTCAAGGGAACATAATTGTAAGCCCAAATATAAAATGGCATGAAATGTGGGCAGATAATTTTTGACAAGGAGCCAGAAACACACAGTTGGGGGAAAAAGAAAGCCTCTTTAATAAATGGTGCTGAGAAAAATGGGAAACCACTTGCAAAAAAAATGAAACTGTGTTGTAGTTTGTCTCCATGTACAAAAATTAACTCAATTGGATCAAAGACATAAATATAAGACCCAAAACAATAAATTACATAGATGAGAGAATAGGTAAACTTATGGATCTGGGTCATAGGGAACATTTTATGAACTTGCTTCCAAGAGGCAAAAATCAATAAATGGAACTAATAACAAACTAAAAAGCTCTGCATAACGAAAGAAATCCACAAGAGAACAAAGAGGCAGCTGACCAAATAAGAGATGATATTTTCAAACAATCGCTCCAACAAAGGTTTAATTTCCAAATTATATAAACAACTCATAAAATTCAACATCAGACAAACAACCCAATTTAAAAAATGAGCAGAGGACCTTAACAGTCACCTTTCCCAAGAAGACATACAAACAGCCAATACCAGTAGATGTACGAAAAGATGTTCAACCTCACTGGCAATTAGGGAAGTGCAAAGCAGAACTACGAAGCAGCCGAGGGGTGGGAGGTCTGTAAGACATGCCCAAGATCACACAACTTCGTTCTCTGCTCTGCAAAACCCCTGTTTCCATGTGGAAGTTGTCACTTAGATCTGCAGGTCCATGACCGTGTCTTGTTCCAAAGCTCACATTCATGTTCACCACACACCCGGTCCTGTCCTCTCTCCTGCACCAGGGCACCTCCCAGAGCTGACTGCGCCCTCCAGCTGCCCCCTCTGTTTCTTTCAAAGTAGAAGACTTTGGGGAGCAAGAACAGCTCAGCTTTTCTGTCCTGAAAAACAGGGTCAAAGTTATTGACTTCCCTCCAGCTTGGGATGCAGGCTTTCAATTTAGGGGCGTGCCGTGCCAGAGCTCAGCCCAAGGCCATCCAGCGTAATTGCTAGCTATGGGCTTGGGAAGCAAATCGGTTTCTGGACAGCACTGACCAATTCTCTATCGCTGCTTTCTTCTTCTTTCTAAAAAAAGGAGTAGAAATTTGAGTCTCTATAAAGTAGCAAGAGTTCAGGGACAAGCAACAGATACTTGTGTCGCAGAAGTGCTGCACAAACACTTTTCAGTAAAGTTGATTGCCGCCACACGCGTGGGAAGGAAGGAAAGGCGTGCTGATCATTCTGTTTAAAACTGTTCTGAGGGTGACTAATCATTCTGTGCTGGCACAGGAGAGGCCGCTGTGCTCTTGTCTCTGTCAGAGCTTTTCTAAGACAAAAGCTTGGGAGCCTGAAGTCAAAAAAGGAAGAAAACAAAACCCCCAACTCAGTTTCCAGCTGTGTGCAGGTGAAGCCCTGGATGGCGGGAGCATCCCCTGCTGGGTGTGCCCCCTCAGTTAGTCTCCTGAGGGTGGACTGGACATCACAGACCCTCTGCCCAGGTGCCGGGTCCTTTCTGGTCTCGACCGGCCTGGCCGGAATGGCCAGCTTTTCTTACTCTCAGGGCCCTGGTTCAGAGGCTGGTCACAGGGCTGCCTGAGAGGTTTGTCACTGAAAAGCCAAGGGGCCTGTGGTGGCCGCCCACTAGGTGTCAGCAGTGTAACCCCCAGCGAGCACTGGGAAAGCCCAATCGGAGAATAATTAGTGAGGATCAGAGCTACCTGCAGCCTGGCCACTCACCACCGGACAGAGCGCCAGGAGAGAAGGGCAGGTGCAGGCACAGCCCTCCGGAAGCTGGGAGAGGAGCCCTTCCTGGGAGAAGGGCCCCAGCGATGTCTGAAAGGAGCCGGTGGCGTCCTTTTCCATTTTCATTCCAAGACAACCCGCATGCCGTGCAGGGAGAGCTGTGAGCAGAGACTTCCCCTTCACAGATGCGCTGCTCACAGGCAGGTAAGGCCACAGCGGGCGCCACGGCAGAGCTGTGAATGACTGCACGCTGGGCAGAAGCTGAGCTGCCGGACGGACTCTCACCACGGCCACTGGAGCGCATCTGCACTCGGGACTCGAGGCCACTCGGACCCCTGCTGGGCCCGTGGACTGTTGCTGTACCCCTGCCCGGCGGCCCCTGCTCAGGCCCTGAGGCCGGGCTGCAGTGGGAGGGGTGGGAGGAGGCCAGCATGGGTATCCAGGCACCGGGATTGCTTAGCCCGTGGCCCTGGCTGCTGCTGCTCGTGGCTCTCCGGGGTTCTGAAGCCACATCTGCTCTGAACAAGCCCACCGGTCCCCCCGCCCAGCAGGCGCCCGGGGCTGGCCTTGCCTCAGGCCCAGCGCTGGGCGAGAGGATCACTGTCTTCGAGCTGGACTATGACTACGTGCAGGTCCCCTACGAGGTCACCCTCTGGATCCTTCTCGCTTCCCTGGCAAAAATAGGTGAGTGCCACCCGGCTGTGCGCGTCCCGCAGGAGACGCTGCGTGCGGAGCGCCTGGGGTGGGCGCCAGAGGGGCCTGTGCTGCCGTCCCGTCGGCTCCGCTCCGTGGTGGGCTCCAGCCCTCCATGCCGCTGCTGCTGGCAAACCTTCAGTGCTGGGTGCTGTCATTTCTTCTCACTTCAGTGTGAAACCATGTGGCATTAGTTGGCGTGCAACCATCTCAAGGTTCTGTGCTTCAAAACCACTGGATAGTGAAGCACGCAGGTCCCAGGACGATGGCCAATGAGGTTTCATGAGTCACATGAAGATTCTTCTATAAAATAGTCTCCCTTCGTCCTTGGCCATGAAGCCAGGGGCTTCGTCAGTGGCTCCCTGTGGATCCTGTGGAAGTGGGCTGTGCTCCTTGCAAATTGGCAGAGAGCAGCTCTCAGGCCCTCGGTGATGGGAAATGAGATAACGGGGTTTTATCTGTCAGTAGAATGCAGATTTACACGTGAGCCACGTGAAGCCACACTTTCCTTTGTGAAATAAAGTGAATTCAAGTTGATGGATTAAATTCTCATCAAGGTTCTTTGTGCCTAACCCAATGTAGTTTTACACTCTGTGACCATTTATTTCCAAATGCCACCCTTTTCTCCTTAAACCAGCTCCTGAGAGCCAAGGACAGGTGGCTCCGTTGGTTGAAGCACCATCCCAACACCAGAAGGTTGTGGGTTCAATCCTGGTCAGGGCACACGCCTAGGCTGCAGGTTCTGTCTCCAATCAAGGCAAGCATGGGAGGCAACTGATCAATGTTTCTCTCTCTCTTTCTTTCTCTCTCTGTCTATTTACTTCCTCTCTCTTCAAATCCTCAAGCAAGGATTAAAAACATTTTTTAAATAAAACCAGCTTATTCGAAAGTGGAAAACTGATACAACTATTTCAATTACTTTGTATAACATATCCTTTGCCTCGGTTATGAAATTGTCATTTGAATAGAGAAAGTGCTTTGTTAGAAACTATGGTGCCCATTTAGGCTGGGTGGGAAATGGGCTGAGCCATGAGATCTGCCAGCTAATTCCTTGGCATCAGGACTGTGGGCTCTGTCTCTTCACCTGACCCCGGGATGTTGGGGTGCAGCGTGTCAGTCAGGTGCTCCTCCTTAACTGCCATTCGTTCTGAGCTGTGCCGTATGGAGATTGAACGGACTGTTACCTTGAAGAACTCTCGTGTGATTGTCGGATGGTGAAGTTATGCGAAGGGCCTCACATCATCTCTCAGAAGCACTCACATAAGACGGGCCGCTAAAGGGGTGGGCAGCGTGGAGCCGAGGGCCCAGCGCCTCTCAGGCAGCCACAGGGACTGAGAACATCCAGGTCTCAGCGGGTTTTAAATGTTCCTTTCTACTCACTGGAGGGATGCTCCGGTCGCCCCTCCCGGCACAGGAATGCTGGGCCTTTCTGGGCCATGAGCCAGATCAGTGGTGACTGGCTAGTAACTCTGTCTTTCTAAGTATCAGCTTGTTCACCTGTGAAACTATTTTTAAAATCTCTTTTTGGTGCAAATAAGGATTTTCTAATATGTTCTATGTCAGTAAACATCACAATGCAGAAAGGGTGTATTTTATCTTGATTTGATATTGGCATAAAACATAGATTGCTCTTTAGAGGTAGCATATGTGCCCAAACTCACTATGTCTACAAGTCTAGAGTGTTGTAGTGATTTAAATGTTCTTGATTTTCAAATTGATATAATTCAACATACTTTAGAAAAAGAAAATAGCTTACCCGTATTTTCCGGCATATAAGACGACCCCTTAATTTTACAGTTAAAACATAGGTTTAGGCCTATATTTGCTGTTTAAGACTACCCCCCACTTCAAAGAAAAGACTTACTTTGCCGTCAAGATCTGCAGGTAATTTTTGTGCAATTTTGGTCTTTTGCCCCTGATTTTCGGTTGACTTTTTTTCATTGCTTAGGTCGTCTTATACACCGGAAAATACGGTAAGTAGGTTTTCAGATGGATCATGTGCATTCAAGTACAATTTCACATTTGCTAGTCTTTCAGAATTCAGATTATTTTTAGATTGCATGTGAAAAGCAGGCTGTGTTTATTGAATACATACTCGGTGCTAATTACTGGGCTTGTAGATTTATGTATGGTGGCCCATTCATCTGGGGGTGGGGGTGAAGGAAGACATAAAACTTTAAGACAACAAATACATGCAGCCTTTTTTAGATTCCACATTATGAAGTTTGAGTTAAGATATAATTAATAATCATCATTACTATTCATTATTTCATTTATCATCCTAGCAAGCACTCTCACTGAGCTGTGCAATGCGTGGAAATGACATGGTCCCTGGCCGTGGGGACTGCGCTTCATGGGGGAGATGGGGCATGTTGGAGGGGGTCTAGCACTGCCTGGCAGGCCTCTGCCAGAAAACATCACAACTCTCCCTGGTCCTTCTGATTTCAGTATTTATTTATTACTTATTTATTTATTTATTTATTTATTTATTTATTTAAACATGTCCTTATTGATTTTAGAGAAGATGGAGGGAGACAGAGAGAGAAAAACATCAATGAGAGAGAAACATTGATTGGCTGCCTCCTGCATACCCCCTCCTGGGGAAGGAGACTGCAACCCAGGCATGTGCCTTGACAGGGAATCGAACTGACAACCTCCTGGTGCCCCAAGAGGACACCCAACCAACTGGGCCACACTGGCCAAGACTCCCCAATCCTTTTTAAAACACCAACTATGCAAGTTGTAAAGTATGCTATTATAGAACAAAGATAATACAAAGTCACCTCAGACTTGTTTATCTTTTATTTCAGTTCCACTTCTTGTAAGTTTATAGAAGGATGCCCTGAATCCCTGGGCAGAATGGAATGAGAACTCTCTTTGGCTTGTAGGTAGGACATTGATACTTAAGTTTCAGTCACTGAAACTAAAAATTCTCAAGTGACTGACTCTACTGTTGTCATCAAAGGGAGGAAGCTCTGACGTGATGGACAGGCAGCACTGCCTTCGGGGCCCTGCGTGCTGGGCGCCTCTCCCGGGACTGGGCAGGTGCAGGTGCTGAGGTAGGGCAAGCTGCATTCATCCCAGGACACTGGAGTCCAGAAAGCAGGGCCAAACCGGGAGACAGGGAGCCTAAGAACACTGCGTATGGACTCTTCCACCTCTTTGACATTTACAAAGTTCCATGTGACTGACATAAGCACTACAAGAAGAGGAAGAGGAAGGGGAGAAGGAGGAAGTTCAGAAACAGAGAGGCGGGATTTTAGAAGGAGACCTTATGCTGGTTTTGAAGCCAGTGGGCTAAGTGTGCGGTCTGGGATAATGTCTCCTGATGCTAATAATGTGCCCTTGTATTAACCAGCCTGCTATAGCAAATGGAGAAGTTCAAAGTTACAGTCAGGGAAACGCACGTGCTCCTTGGATGGCTGACCCTAAAATATTCCTAAGGAGACATTCAATGGCTCCCCATAGCTAAGGAAGAAAACCTACACTCCTTAACCTTAATTCAAGGTCCCCAGCAGAGCATCTCTTTCCTATGCTCTCCCCAATTCCAAATTTGCCCCAGCGAGGTGAATCAAGCATTCTTATCAAACATTCCTATCTCTCTATTTTCCTCTTGGCATTCTCCCAGCCTGGAAAGTCTTCCATTTTGTCTATGTAAGTCATAAGCATTCTCCAATGGCCTGTTCAACTTCTACTTACCATGTAAAACGTTCTCTCACGAACATGCAGCCTACCCACCCGTTCCCTCACACGTGTGATCCCCCAGCAGGCAGCAGGTCCTTGTGCGGGGACACCTGGGGAGTGCACTGGCAGATGTGAGGGTGTCTACCCCTCTGCCTCAGGCTGGGGAGGTCAGGTTTCATAGGGGAGAGGAGCATGCACACAAAATAGTAGAAAGGGATCACTATTGTCACACCGGTCCATATGAAATTTTATAATAATTCAGGGGAAGACATATTATTTCTTTTTAGAAGAGACCAGGGGAAGCTTAACCTCAAAGATTGAGCAGGACCAGAAAAACGTTAAGAAGGACAATCCAGGCAGCAACAACAGGTTGGGGAGATGGGAGGGGCCACAGGTGCAGAGGGGTGTGGCTGGCTGTGGGACGGAGATTCTGAGAGAGCCCCAGGTGACGTGCTTTGCCCTGGCTGCCCATCCTGGCTGCTGCCCACTGTGTCCTGTCTCAATGTGCATTTAGTTGTATGCTTACACATTTTGTTTGTTTTTCTCTTATTTTTTAATGTCTTATTTCTAAAATGTTATCAACGGTTGGAATTGTAGAGAACATGTCAGGTCCTCCACCCCCAGTCCTCTCCCGTGGGTGGGTAGCAGGGATACTTAAGCAAACCCTCCCTTTCAAATCCATGCGGTGTGTGAGCACCTTCACATCTCAGGTGAGGAGGGGGCCATCAGATACACACACGTGGTGTAGGGAAGTCCTCTGGCAGCAGGAGGGGTGAGGGGAGGGGGGCGCGTTGAGGGTGAGAAAGAAGGTCCGCAGGATAAGGCGGAATTAGAAGAAGAAAGGGGCAGTCCTGGGCAAAGGTGGTGGCTGTGGGATTGGAGAAGGGGAGGGACTGCAGGGCGGCTGAGAGAGACGTTACTGATGAAATAGGCAGCTGAGTAAATAAAGGAGCAGAAGTAATGGGGGGTCATGAGAATGCGACTTGATTTCCCCTTAAGTGGCTGAGTGAATGGCAATGTCCTTGATTAAATAAGGAAAGAATGGACTTGCCTTTTGTTGTTGTTGTTTTTTTTTTGTTTGGAGGAGAGGGAAGTGAGATGAGGTCAGTTTGAAGTCAGGCGACAGAAAAGACCGCATGAGCCTTGAAGGCGGCTTTGCCTGCGCAGACAGGCCCACCGCTTCTCTCCTCTTCTCTCCAGTGCTCAGTCCTGTCAATGGGAAGCAGGAAGGACGGGGGGGCACTGCTGCCTAGCACACTGATTCCACAGCCACGGCTGGCTTGCGTGTGAAGCACGTGGTCCAGTGTAAGCCCACCGGCCACGGCCTGCACACAGAGAGCTCGGCCAGCAGGCACGGAGCCCCCGTCTCAGGGTCTCGGGGTTTCGGAGCTGGCAGCTAACTGTGGCCTCTGCTCTTCCCCAGGCTTCCACCTGCACCACAGGCTGCCGGGCCTCATGCCGGAGAGCTGCCTGCTCATCATTGTGGGCGCGCTGGTGGGCGCCATCATTTTTGGCACCGACCACAAATCGCCTCCGGTCATGGACTCCAACATCTACTTCCTGTACCTCCTCCCTCCCATTGTCCTGGAGGGCGGCTACTTCATGCCCACCCGGCCCTTCTTGGAGAACATCGGCTCCATCCTGTGGTGGGCAGGCCTGGGCGCTCTGGTCAACGCCCTGGGCATCGGCCTCTCCCTCTACCTCATCTGCCAGATCAAGGCCTTCGGCCTCAGCGACGTCAACCTGCTTCAGAACCTGGTGTTCGGCAGCCTGATCTCCGCCGTGGACCCCGTGGCCGTGCTCGCCGTGTTCGAGGAGGCGCGCGTGAATGAGCCGCTGTACATGATGATCTTCGGGGAGGCCCTCCTCAACGACGGCATCAGTGTGGTGAGGTGGCGGCGCGTCCCGGGAGCGGGGATCTGGTGGGCATGCGCCGGGAGACTGAGTTCAGGGCCCATGGAGAGGCAGAGCAGGCCTGAGCCCGGGCAGGACAGCGTGGCTTTGGCCAGTGCAGGTGGCCCAAGTTCAGGTGACACTCCTTAGGGTGATTGCTGTCTGACACTGAATTCCCAACTAGCTTCTTTTTCATGTTTCAATATACTTTTATTGATAATAGAGAGGACGGGAAAGGGAGAGAGAGAAGCCTCAAAGATGAGAGAGGATCATTGATCGGCTGCCTCCTGCACACCCCCCACTAGGGATCCAACCTGCAGCTCAGGCATGGACCCCTGACCAGAAGCCAAACCATGACCTCCTGGTTCATACAGGTTGTGCCCAACTAGCTTCTTTAAAGAGTAGAAAAGGGGAGAGAACAAATCGTTCTGTAGTTAAACTCAGAGTATCACTGTGCAAACAGAAACTTGCTCACCGCAGGCTCTGTGCTGAGTACCTTGTCATGCTGCATGCGCTGTGCCGGTGAATGAGGGAGGTGGCAGAGGGCTGTGAAGTGCGCTCCTCCCCGGACAGTGTGGCCTGCAGGCGTTCAGGAAACGTGGGAGCAGGGTTTTGCTGAGGAGCCCTTGGAGAGGAGCCGGAAGGACTGAGGCTAGCTCAGACATCAAGGCCCAGAGGTGCCCGTGGCTGCAGGTGCTAGAATGTTCCGGACTAGCCCTCCCATTGCTCAGTCTCTTACGTTACTGCAAACTTTCACCAGTTGTTAGCCTGAGATTTTTGTGTATTCTGTGATACACTTCCCTTATCTTAAAATTTGTAACACATCATATAAGTAAAACTAGAATGATTTTTAGCGTGAAAGTCAAACCTTACAAATTCTACAACTAAAGGCACCAAGTCTCCAGTGCCTTCTTCTCGCCCTTGATGAGACAACCCAATACACATGTATGTAGACATGTGTTATCTTACATACATTGGGTAAGATCACGTTATATTTTTGCTTTTGCAGGTCTAGGAAGTGATATTTCTGGGGTAAAAATTAGGTACATTAAAAAAAATTTTTGAGATGCTGCTGTTTTAATCACCATCTCTTTATCTGATTGGTGAGGGAGGGACCCTACTCCTGTCAGGGAGTGGCAGGTAATCCTGGCCAGATGAGCTCATTAAAGTCTAGGAAGGGGGTACGCACACACGCGGGGCCTTGGGGCATACACATGGGGTTCACAGGCACACACACAGGGCCATGGGCACACACACAGGGCAACAGGCACACACGCAGGGCCACAGGCACACACACAGGGCCATGGGCATACACACAGGACCAAGGACACACACACAGGGCCATGGGAACACACACACAGGGCCACAGGGCACACACACAGGGCCACGGGGCACACACACAAGGTCACGGGCACACACACAAGGTCACAAGCACACACACAGGGCCACGGGCACACATGCAGGGCCACGGGCACACATTCAGGGCCACAGGCACACACACAAGGCCACAGGCATACACACAGGGCCACAGGGCACACACACAGGGCAACAGGCACACACACAGGGCCACAGGCACACACGCAGGGCCACAGCACACACACAGGGCCACGGGCACACACACAGGGCCACAGGCATACACACAGGGCCACAGGCACACACACAGGGCCACAGGCATACACACAGGGCCACAGGCACACACACAGGGCCACAGGCACACACAAAAGGCCACAGGGCACACACACAGGGCAACAGGCACACACGCAGGGCCACAGCACACACACAGGGCCACGGGCACACACATAGGGCCACAGTGGGGTGTGAGAGGCAGGCTGAGTGGCGCTGAGAGGAAGCTGCCTCCTGGCTCCCATGGACAGTTGTATGAAGAGGCTGGTTGTTTGAAGAAGTCCACCGGCTGGCAGGGGCTGGAACCCACTACTCAGGGCCGGGATCTGTGTAAGGGGCGGGGGGGGTCCCTCAGCTCAGCCTGCCCCCTCTCACAGTCCAGGAGCCCTCAGGGGCGGGAGGTGATCTGGCGATCAGGGGAAGGCAATGCCCCATCACACCTCTGCTGCTGCCACTGCCAGCAGTACAAGCCTCAGCCGGCCCTGGTTACCTGAGCCTTAGGCAGCCCTGGGCAGCTGGGGGCTGAGGGGACTGGGCACTCTGAAGGCAGGCATGTGGAACAACTGGACACCCCTGGTGATGAGTCCAGTCATGCTGAACGCCTGCTGCCCCGGCAAGCCTGAGGGGACTAGACACTGCCATCTTGTGGCTGTGGGCGCTGCCATCTTTGAGGGTGTGGCAGTCAATTAGCATATTTCCTCTTTATTGGCTGTGGGTGCAGCCATCTTTGTGGGGTGTGATGGTCAATTAGCATATTCCCTCTTTATTAGATAGAATTGATTTGTAAGAACTCATTAAATTATTTACATTTTAAACTCCTCAATATTGCATAAAAATCAAGCATTTTCTCCCATTCTGTTATTTTTTTAAATTATGGTATTCATTATTCTATACAAGATTTCAATTTTTATAAGGTCAAATCTAACTGAAGCATTCCTTTATTGCCTTGGGGTTTTTACCTTGCTTAGGATTGTGCCTAGCCAAAGACAGGCAGCCATACTGCTTTCTATTTTCCCCTTTACAATTCCTTGTTCACTCACCGTCACTTAGCATTTTATCAGGAGGACTTGCTTCCTGAAACTAGAAGGGCTGGGAGCGGAGCTCTGGAGAAGCAGCCCGAGCTTTGCAGGTGGATCCTGCCGGGAGGGAGGGGCGCCGTGACATGGGAAGGGAATTTGTTTATTCATAAGCACCATCTCTAGCCGATAAACAGAGGCCCAGAGTCGGCAGCCTGCACCCACTTTCCCGCCGGCAAGGCGGTGGAGAGCCCGGTGTGGAAGATGCCAGGGAGCCTGGCTCCAGGCGCCCCCAGATGCGCCCTCGGGCCCCCAGCAGGACTCCCGGAGGCCCTGCGGCCAGGCTCTGCGGGCGGGCACTGGGCCTGTGTGCCGCGGCCTGGGGTGCTGGCTGGCCTGGAGTGAGTCTGTGGGGCAGGAGGAGGGCCGGGAGGGCGTGAGTCTGAGCCGCTCCGCCCGCTCCCTCGGGCATTTTCAGTTTTCAGTCTTGTCACAGTGGAGTGAGTGTCCTCCGCCGGACTTCGCCGCGAGGCCTGGTGTGTTCGTTTCACAGCGAGTCTCCCCGACGTCCTCGCGTGTCACTGACGCTGAGCTCGGGGGGCGCTGGAACCCCTCCACCGGCAGCCCCTGAGGACAGCCTCAGGCCGCGCCTCTCATCTCCACCTCCCTCAGCAGGAGCTCCCTGCCCCCGGGGAGGCGGCTACGCTGGTGCCAGAAGGAGCCCTGTCACCGCAGGGGAGCCTCTGCCCACGGGCTGGGCCTGGGCGCCCGCCTCCCTTGGGATCAACCAGGACAGCCTCCGCAGCTGGGCTTCCGTCGCTTTGTTTTTCTGGAAACATCTGTTTGACTTTCCAAAGCTTAATTGCTTCCACTTGGCCATTTTTTAAAATGACAGTTTACTAGGAAAGTGCCATGGTGACTGCCCGGGCACTGCCCTGACCTCCGTCCTGGCTCAGAGGCTGCCCACGCACCACGCGGGTCACCCGGTCACCCACAGCACAGGGATGAGCCGTGTGCGGCAGGCGTTCCTGCGGGTGGGCAGCCCGGTAACGTGGCTGGCAGCCGGTGAGCGCGGGCCCCTTGCTCTCTGGGGACGGAGCCTGCCCAGGCCGCAGGCAGAGCCGGCCCTCCGGCAGGCTGAGTCGCCGGGGCCTGGGATTGTGGTTCCAGGCAACAACGCTCAGACGTGTGAGCACCAAGAGCTGCCTCTCACCGCGGAGCAGGGGCTCCTGCAGGACTGCCATCATGTAACGGAGCGGACTCCTCCCTCCGCCCAGGGTTGGTTAGACTCCTCTCCCCAGAGCTCACGCGAAGTGTGGGCGAAGGGAGCAGAGACAGACCGTTGCTTACAAACAGCGGGTCACGTGGCAGGAGCTCAGGGGAAGGAGGAGGTTGGCCCCTGGCGCTTCGGGCCGCCTTCACACGGTTATTACATAGAATCTCTGCACGTTACTGAGGCTGAGTCATGCCCGCACTTCACGATGGAGAGAATGCAGCCACATAAGTTAAAATAACTGAGTGAGGACAAACTTCCAGCAGCGACAGGCCGCACAGTGCTCTGGGCCGCCTGGTCCCAGCTCTCCCTTTCGCCCCTGCCTTTGGACCTCCCATGGCCTGCGGGGGGGGGGGGGGGGGAGGTGCGGGGGCCGAGCAGCCGGTGCAGCTCAGGGAGGCGGGCTCACGTCCACTTCGGGCAGCAGCACTGTCCACGTAAGCTGCCTGGCTTGGCCACGTCCGGTGTGCTGACCTCGGAAGACTGAGAGCCTCTGCCTGCATGTGAAACCCAAATGCTGTAGAGCCTGGCTCCAGAGCCCCTGGGACCGCACTGAGCTCCCGCCAGGGAGAGGCCCAGCCCAGCAGCTCGTGAGCTGGCCCGGAGGCCAGCGCTCTCTTCACAGCACCTGCTGCCCACCCGGAGCACGTTCCTGTGGGACTGTCCTCAGGCTCCTGCTTTCCTGGTCCGTTCGCTGACGAAGCCCCAGAGTTTCTGTGAAGCCCTCCATCCACCCTCCCTCTGCCCTGCCTCTCCCCTCCCTCCACCCTCCCTCTGCCCTGCCTCTCCCCTTCCTCCACCCTCCCTCTGCCCTGCCCCTCTCCTCCCTCCACCCTCCCTCTGTCCTCCCTCTGCCCTTCCTCTGCCCTCCCTCTGCCCTTCCTCCCCTTTCCCTCCACCCTCCCTCTGCCCTGCCTCTCCCTTCCCTCTGCCCTCCCTCTGTCCTTCCTCTCCCCTCCCTCTCCCTTTCCTCTGTCCTCCCTCTGCCCTCCTTCTGCCCTCCCTCCCCCTTTCCTCTCCCCTCCCTCTACTCTTCCTCTGTCCCCCCTCTCCCCCCTTCTCCTCCCCTCCCCTCCCTCTCC